GTCGGTGTCGCGATGCTGCTTGTCGGTTTGCCAGCGTTGTGCCACGTAGCTTCACAAGGCTTTTCTTGGCTTGGTTTCGGCGTCGCGACGAGTGGTGGAACGACGCTCAACGTCAGTTTTACTGCGTCGTGCGTTGTAACTTTCCAGGCTTATGTTCGCTAATGATATCTTGTATCGGCGTAGTAACACCGAACGTCTTCAGCTCAGCGCTACGTTCTCGTGTCAGCGCTGGCGTTCGTCGGAATCCTTACTTTCCAACTAGATTTTTGCCTTCTGCTTACTGAAACCTTTCCTTACTTGGAGTACGCGTCGTCTATGGCAATCTAACAGGTTTTTTTAAGTAATATGTTTATGAATAACATATAATTTCCCCAAATTATTTCGCCGCTGTAGTTGGTTCACTCTACCGCGCATCTCCGGCTTGACTGTCTACATTTTCGAGTTCCTTTAGATGTAGCTACTTTATTTTGTAGTTACATATTGAGGACGATTATTAATTGCATGCATAAAGCCACTGGAGAGCTTTTATAGCAACTTTAGTAAGTATTTTGTAAGCATCAAGACGCTGTTATGTTAAAATCTAATAAACAGTGCGCTCCTGATGTTTCCCGTTCTCATTTAACGGAGAAGTCGAGCGACCTTACGTTTATAGTCACTAGAACAGACGACGAAGCTTATAAAAATTTCATGTAATTGAGAGTTAACCTGTGCAGTTAGTAGACTTGAGTTCTCATGTTCGTGTTTGTACGGCCAGAATTAAGCTCCTATACTTCCACACAGTAATTTTTTTATCTCTCCAGATCAGAGTAATTGATCCAAATGGGACTTCGAAGTACAGAACACTTTTTCGGGAGAGAAGTAAATAATTTATAGCAGCGAAGGGGTGATGCTGTGTGTGTGTGCAATGAACGGGCAGGGGCAGGCGATGTGGAGCCGTGGGTGAATTCTGAATCCAGTCACGAGTTTGGAAGTAATTACACTGGTAATCGCACAATTACAAGAACAGCGAGAAGGCTACAAGTGGGAAGCAGGGAAGGAAGGGAATCGGAAGGAGGCAACGGATGAACAAGACGTACTGATTTGTACATGAGCGCTGGGCCAACAGACCTCGCCGCTTCTCACCAACTCCGCTCACGTCTGTAGGAAGCTCGAAGGCACAGGAAGGAGGAGTTCTGTCGAGAGATTTCAGTCGGATTATGTGGCACATAATTCGACTAGTTTCTACGTGAAAGCAATGTGTTCTCATCGGCTGTGCATTATCAAGTTGCTAGTTCAATCACGGCTTTCCTTGAGTCTACTGTGCAGAGCAAATTGGCTTCAAAGTGTTGGCCGGACGACGAGGCTATCGATTCACTGTTGAAGGACTCAGACTTACGCAGCAGATGCAAGGACTGTCATGGTTAATAGGCTTACAGGATACATCTGTAAGAAAAAAGAATTGACAGTGGAACCACGGTTCCCTAGTTAACGTTGAATACCGCATACCTTTGCATCTTATCTCTACGTGACGTCATCCGCCGACAGCTTATCTACGTGTTGCGTCATGTACTCATCGCTCACTCTAGAACCGTTCTTTGTCACCAAATAATGGCCAAAACTCCTAAACCGTAAGAGTTATCTGAAATCTGTTTGAAAATTTGAAAAGCTCGTGTTTATTTACGCATTTCACTCGCAATTTGTCCCATCTAACTCTCACGCTTTAGACGTGGCAAGCGGTTGAAGTTGAGGAACGAGGGTATAGTTATTACGTGTTTTGGGTAATTATTTCAACAATTTATAGAATAAAGTAAACATCGTGTATTTACTCTTTAATTTACATATAGGTTTATATTCTCTGTCTTACATAGGTCTCGAGTTATTGGCTTTTGAAGAAGTTACACACCAACGTTACCTTACGTATTACAGTTTCCGTCGAGTGTACCGTAATTTTATGAACGTTATTCAACGTTAAAAGTCACGTGCCACCTTCAGGTTACCATCTAGCTGAGGGGTACTTCAGTGCCCTATGTGTCTCCAATTTGGCCTAGGTTATTTCCGTGTTCTTACTCTTGGCACTTGTCAGGAATGTTGTTACAACCGTCGGGTTTCTTATTAACTACCATGACGTGTTTCAGATTCTTCGGGTATTGTCTACCAATCCCCGAGAGTAGGGAGTACTGAGCTACATCTTGCAAACAGCTGAGAAAAACGAACTGGGTCACTGCATGTGATGATAATTCTAACAGAATCAAAGGAACAATACGCGAGATTCTGTTTCACAGACGGAAATTAACACGGAGAAATAGGACCGAACCATTAATAAGTAGCACAGTCGTATTTTTACTGAGCCCGTATGTAAAAGTGACGCTGTAATTATCAAGAACGATAAAGCGATATGCGTTTATTATTTCGTATTTATCATAAATATCTGGGGGGAAAAAAAATCTGCTCAGTTTTTCATTTTGAGAGACGCGGTCTCGATCCATTATAGTGGAAACTCACCTTCATATTTTCACTGAACAAACTGTAAGTTTTCGAAATCACATTAAATCCCTTGCTATTATTGAGTGAAATATTGTGCTCATTCAGGTAAAGCCACTGCATTTGAATTTATGATACTCCAATTTTCTCCCTGATGAAATAATATATTATGCAGCGGCTGGTGTATCGTGTGTGCATGACCATAATTGGACCCTGGTCGTTTGAACCAGTAGCGTATGATTTATACATAATTAGTATTTCGTGTAACAGAATTCTAATAAACAGGCACTCCCGTATTATCAACCCGGGAATCTCATAACATTCCCCCGCAAATAAATCTTTCGAGTTCGCTTCTCATCGCTGAATATTTTATTCGTTTCCGTTTATCTGGGCTCATGTTTCGATGGATCACGTTCAATTGCTGTTATCACAGCTGATCCTAACTGTCGATGTAAGTTCTGTAAGAACAGCGAGTGAGTTCTTTGGTGCATGCACGAATCAGCGTGATACTGAGCTACTTACAACGGCCAGTCAGTCTGCCGACTGTTTAATCATAAACCCTTGGCCGTGTAGGTACTTAAGGAAATATTAACCTCTTCTTACAGATTTCTTCCGTCGTGGGGTGACAATTTTACTGCGTGCGTATGGAAATGCGTAGGAAATCAATTGCAGCCACCAGCTGCCCGCAAATGGTGCTCTGTGTTACGCGCTGGCTGTCTGCAGCCTCAGGGTTGATCAGTGACTTCCCTGACAGATGTAAATCACTCGCGTGGCAGATATTGAATGGGTAACTGAAGCTAATTGCTCCTATGTGAGTGGGTAAATCGTTTGTGCTGCGATATTGTTTCACGCTGACTTCCAGTTTACAGCTGTTTTGAGGACGAATGGCCCAGCTCGAGCTGCAAACTGAACGACGCACTGTACCGATTTTAACATTAACGTTTGCCCTAAACTGCGACGGTCAGTGCATCACACACAGGGACCTTAGTAGGGAAGATGGCTGTCTTCTGGGTTGTAGCGCCGTGTAGTCTGGTAGAGGTCCTTGCTGCCTCCATCATCAGGGCCTGATGAGACATAATAACTTCCATCGACATGTCTCTAACGTTACGGATGAAGACCTAAGCGATCGTGTACTACAATAAGGAAGTGAATCCTAAATTACACGACGTGCAATTCCACAGTCTGTGAAAATGAAAACCAGAGTTCGTGGCAGTCTGGACAGGAAAACAAATCCTCCTTCACCTGCAGAGTGGTACTCCATTTCTAGGTTAATGTAGAAAGCGCACTCCACTTTTCCAGCACTTTTCTGAAATATGTTCATGCAAATTACAGCTTCAAAAATTATGTGTGTGGGTGGGGTGGGGGGTGGGGGGCACTTCACACACCGCATCCAGTTCTAAACGGCCGTCTCCTTTCGCCGACGCTCCCGCAAATAACCTAACAACGCAGCGTGCGTCTGTCAGATTTGTTGGTATCCCAGAGCTCACAAGTACATACATTTTCAAAAATGCTGTGCGTTCTATGGAGGTTCTGGGAATCACCGCTGATATGCGGGTAGCAAACAGCAGCCCCCTGTCCGCACTTACAATCTGTAGTGGACGTTATCTTGGTATCCCTGAAGGTCACAGGTTTGAGTCTCGTCTGGTAGATAATTCTTAGCTTCAATTGAATAAAAATTTACTTGGATATTATCCATCGTCTAGTAATAAAACGTAAAAAACGTAAAACGACGTTTCGGAGATGGGGCTCTATCTCCGTCTTCAGGTTCCTACTCAGTTGGGCCCACTAGATAGAGCTAATCCCTATTTTTATTCAATTGACTCTTCACCATCGTCAAGAAGTTTTAAATTCTTAGCCTGTTTATGTTTTGCTAGGCCTGTAAAATATTTTTTTTTCCTTTCAACTGTTTGTTACGTCGATGGTTCTGAACTTCGCAAGTTGAACTGTCAATATTTTCGTCTGCTGTTGTATATAATACGTCTATGCTGTTTGTTCTTGTCTGCGTTCCCCAAATTACATGGTTATGTCTATGTTGACAAATTCTATTCTAGATTGAGTTAGAACATAGTTTCTATTTTTCTCCTTATAATGGATTTCTTTATGGCAATCCATTTAGAGATCTCGGACCTCTCATGTCCTCTGTCTGCATTTTAAAGCCATAATAATACTGTCGTTTGTTGTAATGTTTTCTTATGCTTAGGTCTTGCTGATTTGATATCTGAACCTACCTCTTTCCAACTATCCCTGCTTAATACTACTTAAGCGAATCGACGTACATCGAATTTCCACTGGCTCGACTGAGTAAACATGCGAAAACACAGGGGAGGAATGATACTTTCTCTGAACGAGGTACAGTTTTATTCTGCAGCTTTTAATCAAGAATAACCAGAGCGAGCTGATATCGTGTGCGAATTACTTCTAACTTAGTTAAGTTGTCGCTGGGAGACTGTGTCATGGAGGATACAGGTGGAGGGTCATTCCCGATTCGTGATGGAAATACTGCAGCACTACAGAAGCCGTGGCCAAATTGCATGTTTCAGGGTGACAGCGAAATCGTACGACGTTGCAACACGAATGGAGAATCCCGGTCGAGCGAAGACAGCGCGGAACTAGCAGCGTAGCGGTGACCTAAGTCCTCGTGACAAGGGGGTGGAGTCCTCTTGTTGTCTTGGAGCGTGCTATTTATTTTGTGGAGCCATGGTGAGTGCTGGGGGTGTTGGACCAGGGGCACTAATAAGTGTTCAACAAGTTTTGGAAGGCGGAGCTACTCTTTGGAGTACGCTGACATCGGACCACACGTGTTCTTCCCGCCAGATGACGTTGGTCGCCGTTGCACAGAAATCGTCGAACGTGATCGACCAGGAACAAAATGTTTAACAATGTCCTTGGGACGTTGTTGAACTGATGTAAGTTTTGCTTTTGCGCTAGAAATGTCTTCAGCCACTGTTGAACACGTGTGGTCCGATGTCACTGATGCACTGTATGGTCCGACAATAACTTCTGTTCCAATTGTTATGCACGTATTCTGTTTTCCTGTGTGTTAGAAAGTTGCCGACGTTTCGGAGGTGTTTGCTGCCTCCATCATCAGGACGATCATCATAATCCTAATAATGGAGGCAGCAGGGACCTCTGAAACTTTGGCAAACTTCTACCAGACAACATGGTACAACAATCCAGAAGACAACTATCTTCAGGTCTAATTAATATTCGTAAATTTTATTTCAATCCATTTTCGATATGATTGCATTTAAGGAAGTAAACGAATGTTATGTCCTGAAATTTCTCTTCTGTGTTTAGTAATTGCAGGCAGTGAAGTATCTAAGTATCTGCATCAGTGATAAGGTCTGTCAATTTTAACCAGCAGTTAAATGAGTCTGAATACAGAGCATTGGAAATAAAAAATGCGTTTGTAATCATAGCGGAATAATTTCACAGTGATCAATGTCCTGGTTGCCAAGTGTTCATTATGAATTTTGCTTTTGATAGGCTACTGAATTATTTGAAGTGCTGTATCGTCGCCTCTCATTACTCGTACGATGTCTGTCTGTCTGTCTGTCTGTAACTGATCGGAGCCGGACAAATGCTGAGGACGCTCGGTCGTGGAAAGCAATTCCCGAAAAGCCAAGAGGACAGACAATTCTGCGATGCTGCTGGTAATGACGACGGTGAATAGCATTAATTAGTAGACCACTTGAGCTGCTCAATTAGTTCGGTCGGCTCGGAGCTTCGCAAGGACCGGAGATTCCGTGGCAATGGGGCGCTGCTTTGCTCGGATGGGCTTAGCCGTGGCATGGCGCACAGAAGGCGAGTGACGACTGAACGAAACTTGGTTAAACGCATTAACGAATGACTGACTGAATGAACGAAGAAGTGTTTGGTTGTGGGAATGAATGTTTGATGCAATGAATTAGTAAGGGAATGAGGTGGTAATTAACTGAATGTATTCAGGCTATGAACAAGTAGACAGATGGATGATTAATTCCATGAATGACAAAGTGTATTTAAACAAGCTAGGAAATGTGCACACAGAATAATATGTTTGGGGAATTTCCCAAGCTGAAATTCAGCGGGTGGACATTCGCCAAAATCTGACTTTCGCATTCAGAAATGAATGTAATATAATTCGTATGATGTGATCATTATTTCTCTCCGCGCTTCACTGAAAGTAAATGTATCTTCGAATTTTAGAAAAGCTATAAAATTTCATGAAAATTTATTCAGCCTTTCTCGAGAAATTTCATCAGTACAGACGGACGGAGTAATTTTAACGCGAGTTCACATTAATTAACTTATATCAGAAAACATTAGTGTTCATTTGCTGATGATGTACGGCTGAAATTTGTATACCGATCAATCTTGAATATTTTAACTACCCCAAAGGCCCCGTTACAAAAATGGGCTGCTAGATTAAACTCTGTTTGCTACACAAATTTATGTGGGCGCCTAGCAACGGACTGACCCGACATTCTGGGTCGTTGCAAGCATTGTTCCGAGGTAAATCATTTCGTTCCATAGATAGACCGGGTTACGTCTCCCTCGACACGTGAAAGTGGCGTCGAATGACCATCTGATGCAGGGGAATGTTTTCAACGTTTTTAAAAATATTCTTGCTTGATTATACCGAGAAAATCGCGAAAATTCCGTGTGGGCCGAGCACACCAACTGAGTGCAGATCAGCGTTGTTTGATCTCGTCTGTCACTGAACTCGTCGAGTGTCTCAACTTCAACGGTGCATGGATATGAATTATGAGTGTTTAAGGATTGGGAAGACGACGGTCGAAGCGTGTTTGAAGACACTTTAGACTGAAATACTGACATATACAACAGGAAGCTCACTCCGGAAACCGGTCGCGAGTTGACCTTGAACTTGGTGTCCGTGGTGTATGACATGAGACTTACCTGGACGACGTACTGAAAGCTGTGACACCGTGCAGACAAATGTAGGTCCCAGCACCACCCAGCGTCCTCGTGTTCCCTACTCACTCTATCTTCTGTTTTTTGTGATTCAACTTCGGGAGAGCACGTGTTAGTGAAGTGAGAGAGTGATTCACATACAACACGCCTTTCCATTAGGCAACCAGTAGCTCACGCCCACAACTGAAAGAACTTGTCCATTGCTGTATTCTCCTCTTCAGCGAATACTAAAATTGCGGTTTGAAACACGCCTTCCATGTTTCCTTACGTTGTAAGAACAAACGATTCACTTAGGATCTTGGGGTTTCTGTGACGATGCTGGACTGGTCAGTCCGAGGTTTCAAATTTATAGGGATGTAAAATGAATACTGTAGACGAAGATACGAAACGGGCTTCCATCTGTAGTTCAAGCTGGCCAGTCCGAGAACCTTCCATGGCGGTGCCGGCCGGTTCCGAACTCTGCGAGTCGAATTAAGATTGCAATTAAACTAACGGTCGCTAATTCTCATTAAGAGATGGATTCTCCGCGAGTTCGACGATTTCCTTCCGTCCCCGGCAGGACACGAGCTTTGCTAAGCGACAGTACTTAGTAATTAATTATAAAAATGGGAGCAGAAACTCTCTCTCTCCAAAATTACTTTATCTCCCGCGGATGTAATCCAGTTTTTTTTTATCGTTAAACACGTTTCGGCAGAATTTTTTAAACTTTCAATTCCGTTGTTATGTAACGTAGTAGCTGTCGATGAGAAGTTAATTTCACAGACTGTGGCGAAAACCAAACGAAACGTTAGTTCAAAGGAGAAATGTTAATACGACATCCGGCTCATAATTGACGAAGGTCGATTCTGAAACATTTTGTTCTGTGCATTGGGAACCCAGATGTAAAACAGGTTTCATTAGTCGAATGGGCTCATTACCATCTGGCAAGTGGAATGCAGGGATGGAACATTTTTGAATAAAGAAAAGAGATCAAGATGAAAAAGAAAGGAATGGAGTGGGAAACGAAAAGAAATAGTGGACGGTGGGAGACTGAGCGACACGGAACGCGGGTGGGTGGACGTAGTTTGCGATAGTATAAATGCAGTATTCCCAAAAATGTATTTTATCAGCGCCATTGCAAGGCTTCGTAAGTATAGTGAAGTGTAGTTCATGACGTATGTAATTCATTACTGTTATTGTCTTGTGTCTATTTGGTATTAATTTTTAAGTTTTCTACTTTACTTGTGCCTTATGGTTTTGTAATCTTATGAGTTCTTTTATTTTGAGTGTGGTGTGTTATTTTGTCGTGTCTTATTGTAACACCACTGCAACGGGTATAAACCCATTTGCAGTTAATAATAAATAAATAAATACAGGTAATCATTGTTCCCAAATCATTTGAAATTTGGAATTTAGACCGAAAAGTGTGTTGTTAGATCCTGTAAGGAGAAAGAACTGGGACGAACCTTAGACGGCCCTTGTAACTCCCGGTCTGGTTGATCCTTCAATTATTTGCGATGTTTTACGTAATTTGTTTTTGGAGCTCATTAATCGTTCTGTGAATTGTCTGTGGATAGAAGCTTCGGTGTTTCCGGTCCGCGAAACGCGTCCTCTGTAAGGCAGCTGCCGTCTCAGTCCGGGAAATGCACAAGCATTTCGAATGGTCGATGCTGATACATCCGCGTCCAGGACCAATGTGTTTCGGCAGGCCATTTGCATTTTGATTTTAATTTTCCGAATCTATCCGCTGCACTCCCAGTATTGTCTACTAAATGCTATGTTTGGCTCTGACCGTCAAATAATAATCATTTCTTCATCATTTTGCTGAAAACATTCTTCTGTAATGAATTGTGGGCTCTAAAACACGAATGTCGAACACTCTCACGTGCATGCCTTTGTTTAAAATATTTATCAGAACAATGCGTTGTCTAAAAAATATGACTGATAATAATTACAATGTTAGTCTTTAATGATTAAAGTTTTAGAGACCAATTCTGCCTCTAGAAAGAAGACTGGTTGTGCGTCCGACGCCTTGGCATGCGCTGTACGTGTGTCTGGAGGCCATAGATGGGACGCCCAGAATCGTGGGAACAATTTCTTCATCAGCAGAATCTCCGTTCCAACCTCTGGAAACCGCATTACACTTCACTAACTTCATTCCTGAAGAATTGAAGTTTCAAACTGTGGAACTACACGCACGGCTATCAGAATTCCCAGTGGCCTTTCAATCGCAGGACTTTCATGGCAAGAAGGAGGAGAGAAAGTTAGTGGAAAAGGTTTACACCTTTCGAGTAATGCATTTCTATTTCTTCTTCTTATTCTTCTTCTTCTTCTTCCTTCCAACATCATTCGGGCGTGATTTAAACCATTTATCGGAATGCAGTTCTTCCTTAATCATTTGCTCGAAGACGTCTATTATTTTGGAACCATAGACGACTAATAACTCTGGAAGTGGCAGGCCCTCAGTGCTGCCCTCTTCACTGTAAAAAGTAAAACTTGAAATGATCTTGGTGTGAAAACATTGCACATTGCTCATTGAATTACTCACCTATGACGTTCTTCAAATACTCTTTACACTGCACTGTTAATTGTAACCATCAACGCAAAGGTATCTTAATTTATTTGGTGACGTAACAGTGTCGTATTAAAGCCACACGTTTTATAAAACTAACAAATTGCGCCTACACTTTAAACACCAAAAACTACACGAAATGGAACTACTTACATAATCGATTTGTAAACACGTTCAGATTTAAATATTAAATTTAGAAATTTATTATCAAACTATTGTGATATATTATGTGGCACAAATATATCCATTGGTTCCTATTAATCTTTATGCAAATGGACTCATTCTTTACGTGGAAATCACCCATTTGGTTAATTCTATTTTGTTGACAAGAGGTCTAATAATCTTTGGTACAACGATTATATAAATGTTACTGTATTAGTGTCTTATGACGTAGTCCCTGTTTTGCGGTGTTGCGTGTATGACGCCTTATTGTGGGCCCTTTCGAACCAGTTCTGGTGTGTGTCCACCATATCAGGACACGAATGTGATTCGAAATGTGTCGGTGTGTTCATTCACGGTTTCTTACGGCGCTGACTGCTGACGTGTGTTCCATTTTGGGATTTGCGAATAATCTAGAGAATTCGGGTACGATTTTCGGCTCGTCCGTGGTCCAGAATGTCTCCACCCGTGTTTCAATTCTTGTAAACGTGACACCACTCCTCAGTGTTCATGTACGGGCCTTACTTTGTTGTTCGTAATAATACAACGCTGGCGGAAGGAATGCGTCAGTTGCTGTGGGCTTATGAAATGTTGAGTAGTGGTGAGAACTTGAACAACAAGCAACTCGTGTTGAATTAATTCTTGCCTGTGTGTTAAAAGGGCGTGCGAGTCATTCAAATTCCGTGAACATTGATGTTTCCATTAATGATTTTTCGGTTTAATTCTGACTTTAACGAGATTACACGGTCAGCGCCAAGCTCTGTGGCGTTAATGTGGACATTTTTATAAAATTGTTACAATGTTAGCGCAGCTGTATGAATGCATTGCGTGAAAAATATAGATCTATAATTGTTGATCATCTGGGATTTGAAACACACGTGGGAGATTTGTTATTCATTTATGCACTTTTCAGTGGCGCACTTAACACCTAAATAGAGGAATCGCCTTATGCACTTCATTTGTTTGGTAGCTGTGACTTGCAAACGTTTGAACTAGACACGTGAAATTCTTTCCAAAACAGTTTTTAAAAATATTTCTGTTTTCGGAATTAAATACGTAAGGATTTTTCTAATTTTCTAATTCATTCTTGATAGATGTTATGCGCTGGGTTTATCTACCACGAGAGTGGATCAGTTAGCTGTAGAGATTTAATTAATAATTTCTATTGGACTTGATATAACAAATGAAACTCGTACAGCGAACGTCTGTTGCTGTTTGGCACTGAACGTGTTTCGGTTTGTGTTGGAACGCCTTGGAGCACGATTCATCACTTGATATTGCAATTCGCCATATTATTTTGAAGGTGCAGGCGTTACTGTTGTAATCCCAAACTTGACAGGCAACTCCGGCAAGAAAGAAATCTCCTCTCTTGTAACGCGGTGTAACTTTTGTGCCCCACTCCAGACAACTTTCCAGCTCGAGACTTAATTTCGCTGTGGAGATCATGTAAGTGACGCTATTGCAATGGACGGTTGATTAGTACTGTATTAATCCGCTGTGTCAAATGTTGAGGACGAGTTTCTGTTGGTTGGTTGGGTCGGACTTTTAAATGTCAACTTCTGTATCAAATCGTAACACAGAAAATGAAAGAAAACTGAAATGGATGCAGGAGAGAATGGGGCATCTTGAAATAATGTACGGAACGAAAGGTGAGGATCCTCTAGGAAAGCGCACCATAGAGAATATCTGTTAGGCGGAGCTGCAGCTGTCAGTAGCAAATCG